GGTTCCTGTTTCAGTCTCACTCCCGGTGCCCTCCCCTCTCCAGCCGCCGCGCCGGCTCGGGCAGCAGCAGGACGTGGCCCCGCTCCAGCGGGCTGGCGTTGATGGCCACCAGCAGCGGGTCGGGCGGCGGCCCCTGGCTCCCGGCGCGGCGCAGGCGGAGCAGCAGCTCGGCGGGGCGCAGCCGGGTGAAGTTGAAGGAGTCGGGGTCGAAGGGGTCCCGGAGGCTGCGGACGGGCTGCGGTGGGCGGCGCTCGGCGCTGCGCTGCCCGTTCAGCTGCGCCACGAGGCGCACGGGGCCGGGCAGGACGCGGGTGGGCATCGGCCCGAGCCGGTACCGGAACAGACCCCGCTCCATACGGTCGCTCCAGCCCGCCAGCAGCGCCCTGTCGAAGCGGGAGGGCGCGGAGTCCGGGTCGTCCCAGCCGGCCGGCTGCAGCACGAAATCCTCCTCGCCGTACACGAACTCCTCGGGGCTCGGCTCGCCCCGCTCCTCGCCCGCCGCCAGCGCCGCCGCCATTGCCGGTGCGGGGCGGGCTCAGCCGCGAACCCGCGGCCTCTGGGTCCGCCGGGAGGGCGGGGCTGTCGGGCCGGGTGGGCGGGGCTGTCGGGCCGCGGGGCGTTGCCACGGCAGCGGGTGAGTGACGGGTGGCGGAAGCGGCGCCATGGGCGGCTCGGCCAGTCTGCTGCCGCGGGACGCGCTGGGCGAGTACCAGGTACGACACCGGCACCGGCTCCGGCACCGGCGGAGAGGGGCGGCGCCGGGGGGACACGGGGGCGGCGTGACCCCGGGGGGCAGCTGCCCATAGGTCGAGGGACCCGGGGCTGGGTTGCCCCGGGTCAGGCCCTGACCCCGCTGCCAGTGCTGACCCCGGTGCCCGGTACTGACGCCGGAACTGACCCCAGTGCCCGGTGCTGACCCCGGTGCCCGGTACTGACCCCAGTACTGACTCCGGTGGCCGGTGCTGACCCGCACTCTCCCCGCAGGAGCTGACATTCCTGAGCAAGCAGGAGATCCTGCTGTAAGTACCGCCCATGGGGCGCCCCCCGTAGTCCCGGGGCGTCGGGCTGTGCTGGGGGGCACGGCGGGCGCCGGCCCTGCCCCGGGCCGGCTCCTCTCCCTGGCCCCGGGAGAAGCTGGGGGACCCCCGGGCCGGCATGCACCCGCCCGGCCCTGGGAAGCGGTGCCGGTGCCCAGAGGGGCTGCTGCCATCCCGGGAGCACCACAGAGCCGCTCTTGTTCTTTCCTCTTCAAGTGCCTACAAGAGGTTCAGTGAACTGCTGCCAAAGCAGGAGCGGGAGAACGCCTGCTCCGCGCGGGTTCCCAAGAGCCACATCCTGACGCTGCCTGAGCTGCGGGTACGGTGCCTGGCACACACAGGACGCTGCTGCTCCCGGCTGGGGGCACGTTTGGGCAGGGCCTCGGTTTACCCTCCATGGCCTCACCGTGCCAATGCTCTGCCCTCAGCTGTGCCAACAAACAGCTTCCTTGTCCCCAGTGAGCCGCTGAGGATCCCGGGGATCCTCCTTCCACTGTGCCATGGAGGATCCCAGGGATCCGTGCAGCGCATCCCGGGAGGCACAGGACAGGCTCAGCTGTGCTGCGGGTGCCGGACTGGTGGCAGAGTGGGGCACCTGCTCAGCTGCTGGAGCAGCAGCCACAGCCGGTGTGTGGTGGAGGGAGCCAGCCCTGCCTGAGCCGTTCCTGTGTCCACAGGCAAACCCCTTCCAGCACCGGATCTGCCATGTGTTCTCCACCTCGGAGGCCGGGGACAACAGCATGTCCTTTGAAGACTTCCTTGACATGTTGAGCGTCTTCAGTGACTCTGCCACCTTCGACATCAAATCCCACTATGCCTTCCGCATCTTTGGTAAGGCTGGGGGCTTCTGCTGTCTCCTGGGGTCCCCACACCTCAGGGAAGAAGGGATGGGGGGATGAATCCATGTTCAGGAGGGCTGCCCATGGGGACAGTGGCTTTAGGAACTCCCTGTGGGAATGGCTGCTTTGGCACAGTGATGCGCATGAAGCTGTGCAGTGCTGGTGCTTGTGACTCTCTGGGGTCTCTGTGGCCCTGCCAAAAGGTACCTTTGCTGTCCACACAGACTTTGACGACGATGGGACTCTGGACAGGAAGGACCTGGAGCAACTGGTGAACTGCCTGACGGGGCAGGGCGAGGAGTCCCGGCTGAGCAGGGCGGAGATGGAGCAGCTCATCCAAAACGTGAGCGCGTTGGGCAGGGCACGGACACTGCACGGCCCCAGGCACAGAGCTCACCAATCCCCTTTCCCCCCAGATCCTGGAGGAGTCTGACATCGACAAGGACGGCACCATCAACCTCTCCGAGTTCCAGCATGTCGTCTCCCGCTCCCCAGACTTTGCCAGGTGCGGTGGTGCCCAGCAGCAGAGCCCATCCCGGGGCCTGTCTGGGGCTTCATTGTCCCAGTTGCTGAGCTGGGGCAGAGCTCATGGTGGCAGGAGGGCAGGGCTGCCCTGTGCCAGGTCTGCCACAATGGCAGAGCGAGCTGCATCCCAGGCTGGCTCTGCATCCCAAGCTGGCTCTGCAGAGCCTCTCGCACATGGGAACGTGGGTCTCTGCAGCAGTGGGCGCTTGCAAACTCTTTGTGTGACCCAGTGAGGAGGTGCAGAACCTGTTGTGTCTCTTGCAGCTCCTTCAAGATCGTCCTGTGAGCCCTGTGGCTCACCAGCACCACTCCTCCAGTTCCTCCAGCACCACTTGTCCAGTTCCTCCAGCATCATTCCTCCAGTTTCTCCACCACTCCTGCAGTTCCTCCAGCACTCCTCTGGCTCCTGCAGCTCCTTGTGGGCTCAGCCATTTCTTCTTTCAGAGAGCACAGGCCCGGCCCCTCACTGGCCCAGCAATGCCACAGTGCCTTGGGCAGGAGCCTTCCTGCTTTCCTCTCAGGTGCCTGGCAGTGGGGGGCCCTAGGAATCTGCCTCTCCTGCAGCCCCTCTGCTCTCCCAGCATCAGTTGGACTCCGTATGCAGTCTAAGGGCAGCTCTGCAGGTGGGGGAGGCTGAGCTGCTCCTGCCTGGGGCCACTCTGTGCCAGCACAGCCCCTCCCTGCCCTCAGGACCAATTCCCAAATCCCTGAAGACCAATTCCCAAGTCGTGCCTTTCAGCAGCAGGCAGAGAGCTGCCTCCCTCTCCAGCCTCTTCTCAGCTTCCTCATCTTCCTGGGAGCGTCCCTGCTGCCACATGGATTCATTTCTCTGAGCAGTAACCCGAACATGGATCCTCTGAGCAATAACCAAATTGTGGATCGTTTTTCCTGAGCAATAACCCAAACGGGGGTCGTTTCTCTGAGCAATAACCCAAGTGTCACTGTACAGGTGCCAACCCACAGCAGAGCTGTCCCCCCACGGCTGCACAGGACACATTCCTTCCCCCCTGGCACAGCCCACGGGTGCGCAGCTGGACTCCCCCGTGCTGCCTCAGCACTGACCGTGCTCAAAGCCTGTTCTCCTCTTCCTCCCTTTCCCTCTCTGCCCCTCCTCTGGCTCCAGCCCAGCAGCTGCTTGGCTGTGCCGGCCTCTTCCTCCCCCAGTCCCTGTGAGGACACAAATAAAGGGCTCCGGTTTCACCCTCACTCTTTGCTGCCTTTGTCTGGCTGCGGGACGGGTGCCACGAGGGTGCTGGGGACACGGGGCCCTGCCAGGCCCGTCTGCCCGTCTACGAGCCACCGCTCTGGGACAGGTCCCACGTCCTGCATGGTGACAGCCCTTTCCAGGGCCACCTCCCTGCCTTCCTCCCTCCCTCCTCCATGATGGGATTGTTCTGGGCAGCATAAAGATCTCGGTGCTCTGGTCAGAGGCACCGAGGGAAATCCCGGCCAGGCGAGCGGGACCTTCACTGTGGGCAGTGCTGGGGCTCTTTGTGCCTGTTCAGCCACCGGCTCTGCCCTGGCCCGCAGCCAGCGGCTCTGCCGGGCTGGTGCGGGGCCTGGGCCTGGGGTCCAGCTGGCCCCGCAGAGCCCCTGTGCTGGTGCGGGACCCGCCGTGGAGCAACCCATGCGGGTTCCTGTTTCAGTCTCACTCCCGGTGCCCTCCCCTCTCCAGCCGCCGCGCCGGCTCGGGCAGCAGCAGGACGTGGCCCCGCTCCAGCGGGCTGGCGTTGATGGCCACCAGCAGCGGGTCGGGCGGCGGCCCCTGGCTCCCGGCGCGGCGCAGGCGGAGCAGCAGCTCGGCGGGGCGCAGCCGGGTGAAGTTGAAGGAGTCGGGGTCGAAGGGGTCCCGGAGGCTGCGGACGGGCTGCGGTGGGCGGCGCTCGGCGCTGCGCTGCCCGTTCAGCTG